GCCGCCGCCGCCCCCCCCCCTGCCGAGAAACCTTCTTCCTCCTCAGGGCTCACCTCTAGGCCTCCGCCAGGATGCATCAGGCTTGCGTGCACTACCACCCACAGCAGAGCAGCCTGAGGTCTGCACAGCTTTGTACCACTGATGTGGGCCAGCCTCCTCTTTAAACTGTGGGCTTCCTGAAGCCAGAAGCGGAGGATCCGCTGACCCTGGCCCTGAGCAGGGACCACAACTGTCCGTGGAATACTCCCCTGGCATCTCTCTGCACCTCACTGTGCCAAAGGCACCTGGGGCTATGACAGCAGCGGTCACGTGCACTCTCGGCACACTGAGGGACACCGCTCAGCCCCTTCTGCATGGGATGGTGCTGCCGTGCGTGGAGGCAGCGGGTCTGAGGAGGGGGGCTGGGTCAACCTCAGAAGCAGTGGTGGCCCCAGCACTCAGACTTGTGTCAGATAATGCTAATGGCCTGCGTATCCCTGAAATATAAGGGACTCCAGCAATAATATAGTATTTATGGTTATTGATTACTATGGCAACTAATAAGTAACAAGGGCAACTATTTATGATTTCTGAAGTAATCCCTATAAAACCAGATACTTTACAGGATCTTATTAAATCTTCTGAACACCCCTATAGATGGTTATTCCGCTCCCTTGCCCCCAGAGGAGAAACCTACGCTCAGAGACATTTAGAAACTTACTCAGGGTCACTTAGCTGGTCTGCACCAGAGCTGAGGAGCCCCACATTTCTCACACCCTACAGGCTTCTCCTAACGACTACTAGCAATGCCTGTCTGGGGCCTGGCCTGGCCTTTTTCATAACAGCTTCACTGAGACACAGTTTGCACGCTCACGCTCTCCAGTTCTTTACCTAAAGTCTGCCCTGTGCAGCTTTCCTATACAGGCACAGCTGTGCAGCCACCACCATAAGCAGGTTTACAGCCTTTGCTCCACTGCAGTCCCATTTTCAAGATGAAAGGACTGCAGCTCAGAGGGCTCCCAGGACTTGGTAGTGGTCAGAGGCAAGGCTGGGATCTGCCATCCCCATTCCCTTCCTGCTGCCCGCCAGGGTCTACTCAGAGTAACCCGTCAAAAATGCAGGATCTGCAGAGAGTGGAAAATGGATCCAGATGTGACAAATCTTACACGTGTGGCAGCTTCCGCGCCAGGCCCTGACTCACAGAGGCGCTGAAGGCAAAGGGGGAGCCTAACGCAGCCCAGGCCCCCTCACTCCAGCACCACATGTCACAGGAAGGACACTGAGGCCCAGGACCCAGGAAGGCAGAGACAGTGGGCCTTCACCTCCCTGGAGTAAAGGCCCTATGGGAGGCTAATGGCCAGGGCTCCACACGGACACAGTGAGGGCTCAGTCCCACGGAGAAGTGGGGACTCCACTCTGCTGACCCTGTATCCCACATCCCCTGCAGGACTCACCAAGAACTGGACCCACCCAGGCCTCCATCCAGACTCCTCCCAGGTGAAGAGTGGCCCATTGAGAAGTCACTGCTGCCACCCAGACACATTTCCAGACTGAGACCCTCGGGTGTGACGGTCCCAAGCCAGCTGCTCCCAGCCCCAGAGGAAACACTCTGCAGGTGGGACAGACCTTCTTTCCTGCCCCAAACATCCTCCACACTGGCTGGGTCAGTCATGTTATCTGCTGGCCTGAGGCCCAGCACTTGCATTCCTGCTCACAATGCTTGAACAGTCTTGAGCCAGTGCCACCTTCTCCAGGGAAGCCTGTCCAGCTCTGGCACTAGAGCTTATGTTGAATTGAAGCTTATTTCTGAAGCCAGGCCCTGCAAATTGACAACTGACTCCTTCCCTGGTTGGTAGCTCCACGCCAGGCCTGGGCTGAGCTGGGCAACAAGGTCACAGAAGAGCTGGACCAGTGACTGAGCACCTTCCTCATAGCCCAACGAATCTGCAGTTATAAGAGGGATCTGAAGACTCCGATCCTACTCCCCGCGGCCTCCTACCCCACCCCACATGGACAGACTTGCGGCCCTTTCACCTATCCCAACTCGGGCCAGAAGTGCGGTGTCTAACTGAGCCACTCAGGCCTAACTTGTGAATGGAATCTACAGTGGAGACAGTGACCCTGACACCTTGCACTCCTTCTGCCACTCTACAGAGCAACTGACTGGGCATCTGGGACAGACCCTGGACACTGCAGTTAATTCCCATCTAACACTGGGGTGTTAGACACTCAAGACACCTTAACTTATTGGTGTTACTATTATCATCCTATGATTTCCCAGTGGACCATGCCCATGGCCAGTGCTCAGTACACAGTTTTTAAAAACACTTTGGAATGAATGACACAGGTATTTGAAATCCTTGAGAAAATGGGGTTTAGATCTACAGACCACAGAAAAGTACAGGGTTAAACTTTATGGTCAGAAATGTCACAGCGTGGCTTCTGAGTCCAAAGGTGAGCTCTGCTGGGTGACATGCAGTGGCTCCTTGCCCTCTCAGGACAACTGGCACTTCTGGCTGGGCTAGGAGTGAGGAAACCCTGCCTGGGGAGGCTTCTGGGCAGGCCTCAGACAGTGTGCTGAGTGTCCCAGGGCACAGGCAGCCAGAGAGTGCCATCCTGGCCTGAAGCGGGAGGGCATCTGGACAATGGACTTTAGGACTAGCCTCTGGAGATAGCTGAGGGCCCAAGCAGTGTCCTGGTGCTGAGCAGTGGCCCAGCCTGAGGTTTACTACAGTAAAGTTCGTTTTCTTCCCTAGCCAAGAGCAGGGGAACCCACAAGCATCTCCAGGAGCCTTGGTTCCATGCAGGACGCAGATCAACACTCTGGAGGCCCATTGATAGACAGCCGCTAAGACCTGACCCAGTTGTGGCACATGCCATCCAGAATCCACCCCCATCCGCCAGGGACCCTCAAGGCCACACAGCTCATGAGAACATAAGAGGCCACCAAAAGTCAGCAACATCATCCTAGGCATGCCGGGCCACAGGACCTCTGAACAGCCCCACCTGCCCCATCGCCAGCCCCAGCAACCACACCATAACTTGTCACCCAGTGCGCTGCACAAGGCAGCCACAGAATCATGGCTCATGGGCCCATGAGTCAGGGTCCTTTATGGAAACCACCTGGCCCCTGAAGCATCTACAAGTAGCAGTCAATCAATTTGTCAACACACTGCTGTTCAATGACAAGGGAAGTTTCAGGGACGTTTTATTGGTGATGGTCACCCACGCATGCCTTCTTTGACACCCCCAGCATACACTGGTTTGGCATCTCCCCCATGCCTCACTTTAGGAGGGCAGCTGGCAGAATGGGGGAAGAAGAGTTCATCGTGCCATCGAGCTGAGCATCAGTTTGAACCAGCATTTTGTTCATCTGCACAGACACTGCATCTCTGATGATTTCTTACATCACTCAGGATTTTCAACCACAACTTGAGGGCACAGTAGCTCTAGCCAGAGAACCGCAGAGCCAGGAGAAGCAGGCAGCAAGGCTTCCCCTGAAGTCCAGGCAGGTCTCAGGCTTCTTTCCCCAGATCTGCAGCCTGGATTCCTCAAAGTCTGTGTACGGAAACCTTGCTGCAGATCACCTGGAGGGTCTGAAGGATGATGCACATGCTGGGAGCTTCCCCAGAGGGACAGCTTCTGCCCCTCTAAGAGCGTGCCCAGGTGATTCAAGTGAACACCCCACTTTGAGGGCTAGACACTGCCTAGACCACAGCTCTCAGTGGTGGCCCCTACTGCCTCCAGTGGCATAAAAACTGGCTTGGAGGAAGTTAAAAAATTAGTCTTTTTATAAATAAAGGCAAGATATCTACACAGTATACAAAATAGCATGGGTATTAGTATACCTGGGCTGGGGTACATGATACACTGTGGGGAGTATAATAATCATGTGTAACATGGTTCCTCAGGGGGCTGACATTGAAAAAGCCTGAGAAGTATGGGCCATCGTGATACTTAACAGGAAGATACCCCATAAGGCTGGGAAGATGGGGAGGAATGCTCCCAGCATTCCTGCTCCCTCCCTGTCCAAGTCACACTCTCACAAACCTAAAAAGAGAAAAGAAGGTCTCTTGTGGGAACTATCAGCTCATGCCTGATGTCACCGCCAAAGCAGACTGTGGAAAGAGCCTCCCTGCGTGCCCTGAGCAGTTATGCAAGTCTCGAGGACTGACACACTAGAAGGGAGCAGCAGGGGTGGCGAGAGTCAGCACCTGCTGACAGTGAGACAGAAGCCACTCACAGCTGCCTGGTTTGCAATGGGAAGCCAACCCTCCCAGGCCTCCCAAGGTTCTGGAAGGGCAGTGAGTTTCCTAGGAGAGGGACCTTGTGGGGCAGACAGGGAAGAGTGGGCTGACTTTGGGAGGAGAGAGGTAAAAGACGAACAAGAGGAAGGATGTAAGGTGACAACAGCAGTAACAGTATCAGCAGCTAACACTGGCTGGGCCAGGATCACATACCAGCCATCCGCCAACCACCTGATCCACTGGCTAGTGAGGTGGGTGACAGAGTATGACCAGGCTGTCAGCTCCGTGTCTGCCTCGGGGACTCCCATATCCTCCACATCCAGAACAGCAAGTGTGTGCAAAATGGTTGAGTCCCTACTTTATGGATAAGGGGAAGAACCACAGAGGTTAACATATCCAAAATCCTCATGGCTAGCAAGTGGCACGGCCACAGTTTGACACCTGGCTGTCAAAACTCCAGAGCCTGCCTCCCTCGGCCCTGAGTCTGTCACATCCCAGCCACATAGCTCATGGTCTGGGGGTCTCCGGACGGTGAGGGAACAGGCAAGACAAAGGTGTTATCCCAGCTCAGCTGCTTCACACCTGGCAGGGCATGAGCCTGGTGGCCAGGGAGGGCATGTGGTGCCCTCTGCAAGGCAGCACAGCCCCCAGCTGGGCCCACACTCACATCATGCTCGTAGGAATCCCAAACCCAGGGGAGCCTAGGGAAACGTGAACTGGAGGCTTGGAGACATCACAGCTGAACAAGAATGAGAGTGAAGCAGTGTCCCTTACCAATCCGTCACAGTTACTGATGGCAACAGCTGCCCCTGGCATTCCAGTGACACCTCCAGTGTACACACACTCCTGCTGCAAGGGATGTCGGAACAGCTCCTGAAAATCCTCCTGCCACTCTACTGAGGCTCCTGGCACCACCAGCCTCCGGTTGGGCCGAAGGTGCAAATGCAGCTCCTTCCCAAAAACGGTCACGTTGAAGTAGAGGAAGTAACGCTGTACCTCACCAGGTGGCGAAGTCCCTCTGTCCGGGCTCAGAGGGCTGCGAGCCACCCGGAGGTGCCTGGAGCGCAGTGGTGGGATGGGTGTCCTGTCCACTACCACGCTCCCTGCAGATGCTTCGGCTGAAGCAGACACTACATGGGAGAGGAAGCGTCCCTGAAAATCTGTGCTGCAAGGCACAGTCACAGCATAGTCACTGAGCTTTCCAGAGAAGCGCGGCTCTGTTGGAGGGAAATAAAAAAAGACACTTTAATGTGCAGAGGTAAGGGGACAATGGAAATCCCAAAAGGCAGGTAGGGAAGGGCAACCCTGAGTATCCTCTTATGGACTACTTAGCCCAAGTTCATTCATTTTCCACTCTTTGGTTCCTGAGTTCCTAGATTTCTACATTTGGATGAATGATGTGCGGGTACTTTGTAGACATAAGTCACTCCCTGTAGCCCTCAGGTCCCTTTCTAATTTAGCAGAAGGAAACAAGTGATGCCAAACAGAATCCTGTCACTCTAGCAACAAGTCCTCCAATCTTGGGCACTGCCTAGGAAATGACTAAATTCCCCGAAACCCCCCAGGGTGCAAGAGGGAAAGCCAGGATCTGCCCAAACTCCACAATGAGCTGAAGCCACCAGACCCGCCTGGGGCAGGGCCCTCCTCACCAAACTCCCAAGCATGCAGCTGACAAAACAAACACACCTAGAAACCCTGGGGATGGCAGGACTGTGTCAAGGGGAAAGGTGGGGCTGGACAGGAAAGGGAGGGAATCCATGGTTCTCTTTTCCAAGGTTAGAAAGAGAACTTTTTTAAGCAGCACAGTGGCTGCTGAGATTTTTGCATGGCCCAGCCCCAAGTAGGATAAATATAGATCTTCAAAAATAAAAGGAGACACAGGGTGACCTGCCCACTTGGGCTGAATTATGTGTGAGGTCATGGCCCATACTCCAGGCCGCATGCCAGTGGCCTCATCCTCACAGCTCTCCCTGTGCCCAGCTGGGCCAGGCAGGAATGACAGCTCCCTGGCTTCCATGCCTGGTGATTCATGGATGTAAGTTTGGGAGGAATTTTCATTTCCACTCAGCAGCATCTATCACCTATCCAATTCACAGAGCTGATAAAACAGAAATCGATATGTCCTGAAAAGCTCCCAGGCCCAAGGCAGTTACACCGGCAGGGGAATGCTCCTGTCCTCTAGCCTCACCTATGACAGCAGAGGACCCCAAGACTGCTACAAGAGGGATCCCTCTGTGGCACATGAACCCGGCCTAGAAATGGCGAGAGCCTCCTGTCTGCTCAAAGCCACCAGGGAACTCCACCTTGGAAGGGGAGGGGAGTATCTGCGGCGCTGAGGAGGCTATGGGGTGGGGGACAAAGCCCTGAGGGTGTTTTTGAGCAGAAGCATGTGTGCCCTGGGCTCCGCAATGGGAGGCAGTCACTTGATGGCCAACTTCTGAGTGTGATCAAGGGTCACACAAGTGCAAACACTCCCACACGTATGAAGAGAGGCTGCAGGCTGAGCAGACACCGAACAAGAAAGACAGCGGAGAAACAGACGGAGGAACACAAAGGGACAGATAATATAGCCCCTAAGAAAAGACTGAGGTGCACAAATCCCCTCCTGGGTTCTCTCTACTCCTAGGGTCAGAGAGGGAAAGGAATCAGAGGCAAGAAGAGACAACAGCTGGGACCCCAACCAAGTGCATCTCCTCCCACCGGCCTGAACTTTGCCCCGGTGGCTCGGAAGCCCTGGGGCCACACTGACCACGTGCACCCCGGATCCCACGAGTCCCGGCGCGCCCGACACTTACGCACCTGGGGTCCGGCTGCCTGCAACGGCGCACAGCGCACAGGGCAGCAGGCAGGAG